CCAAGTTGGGTGGGCAGACACACGCGTTTAGCTCCACTTCCTTCTGACGTCCCAAGAAATTATGGGAAAGAATTAAAGGGCACAAGATCACATTAATAAACAGAGAAGGAAATAAGAACATAGCCAATAGGAGATGTCAGCAAAATTCTGGAATCTGGAAAGCTGATGGGTAATTTATCACCCATGGGAGATTACAGAAGGTGGAAAGTTTGGTGAAGGGGCACAGCTCAGAAGCAAGTCCACTTGTGCCATGAATGCCCCCTAGGGCTTAGGAAATGGTGGTCCTAGGCATGGCAGAAGCCAAAAAAACAGTAGGGCTAAAACCAGGAGGAATCTTTGAAATATTTTACAAGTGTATAAAAGGAATTATACTCCTAGATCCCATCCCTAACCACTGTAAGAAACCAAAAGTTTAACCCAAAAATCTTTGAACTTAGGGACAGCCCAGGGCAGGGTATCATGATAAAAATTTAGATACAGGTTAAGTATCCCCAGTATGAAAATTCAAAATCCAAAATGCTCCAAAATCCAAAACCTTTTTTGAATGGTGACACAACACTCAAAGTAAAGGCTCATTGAAGCATTTTGAATTTGGGATTTTCAAATTAAGGATGTTCAACTGGGAAGTATAATGCAAATATTCCAAAATCAAAAAAAAAAAAATCTGAATTCCAAAACACTTCTGGTCTCAAGCAGAACAACATGCAAAAAATACAGAACAACAACAAAAAAGAACAAAGCAACAAAGAGCTATAATATCTTCAGTGAACACACACACACACATCTTGGAGCAGGTTGCTATAAACAAAGAATAACTGGAAAAGATGTCTTGAAAATTATAAATATCGCAGCAGAAAAAAATCAAAAGAAGGTTGGAAATTAAAGTCAAATAGTATTCCCAGAAATAAAAAAAAGAATTGAGAATTAGAATTAGAATTTCTTAAAGGCAACACTAGAAGCTGGAAATCAGTGGAACAATGCTTCCAAAATCCTCAGAATGATTTAAACCTTGTGTTTTATACCCTGTACAACTATCAATCAAGTGGAAGAGCAGAATGGGACAATTTCAGGCACGTAAAGTTCTCAGAAAAATTGTCTCACATACTCCTTGTTCAGAGACCTGCTAAAAGATGTGCTCCCCCAAAATGAGGTAGTAAAACAAGAGAGAGGAAGCTAGAGATCCAGAAAAGAAGGGATCCAATCCAGAAGAGAGCAAAAGGAGTTCTGAAGATCAGCGTGAGTGAAGGTCCTGGGATGAGAGCTGTGCAGCAGGCTTAGACAGCAGTCAGTCCAGAGAGGAGCAGGAGAATAGAGAGCTCCGGGAATGATGTAAGAAAACCATCAAAATAAGATTGCCTGACGTATTGTGATTGTGCTAAGGGGATTTATACTTCTATCAGGATCTGGGCTGAATTCATGATAGATACATAGGAAACTAAGCAAACAAAACACTAATATTTAGTAACTCCAGGAAAACAAAGGATTACACATAAAAGGGAAATATAATCATAGCATACCCAAGGTATAGCTGTAAACAACATCTTAGTAGTCTTAATCATGCAAAAGTATACTGATGTAGCCAAAAATTATGACATGACTGAAAGGGAGACAGAAGGAGATCTATGCTTGGGATGTGGTTGGGAGAAAGATTATTAGAGCTAAATCCCTATCTTCCTTAGGAGGAAATCAATAGATAATATACAGAAGTGAAAAATCAAGAAAAAGTAATATAACCACATTATTAGGAAATGTAGATGTTAATATTAGAAGAAACAGTTCAATGTGCTAACCTGGCTACCTCTGGGAAGAGATAGCCCAGGGCGATGTGGACCTGCTGCTTTTCATTATAAGCCTGTTATAGCTGTTTGGCTTTTTATATTATGCACATAAAATACTTTGGTTAAAAAAAAAAAACTGAAAACATCACAAAACCAAACCCAACAACAACAAAACTTTGAACTTCCCCTCAAATTGCTTTCAATCCAGTAAAGGGCAGACTGTGTTAAGAGGGGTTTCTAATGCTCTGAGAGGCGAGGGTGGTAGAGCGCAGAGGGCTGAGCAGAGCAGCCCAGCCCACTCAAGGGAGAACAGAGCAATCGGGAGTCTGAGATTCTGAGAAATAGGAGGAAAAGCAGTGGGAGCATGACAGGGCCCTGGCCGTGGGCAGCCAGCCCTTTCTTACACATCAGCTGGGTGAATATTCTAGGGTGGCTTTCTCATTACTAATGGAGAATATTTTCTCCAGTGTGGAGGCACTTTTAGGACCAACAATATGACTGCATGGTGGGGTTAAAATTTAACAGTGGGTCTTGGCTTGACTTAAAAAGCCTCTTGTCTTCCCTACACATTTCTTTAGCATTTTTTGAAGTGGCATAAAGGTACATTTTTCAGAAAGTCCATAACACTAATTTTGTGTTTCTCCAAATTTGTACTGTTTTCTTCTTTGAAGTGATTTTAGCAAACATTGCTAAGAACAGAGACAAAAGTTCTACTTGGAAAAAAAGAAAACTCTAGACTCTCAAGTGCAATTTCTGAGGGTGTTTTCAGTTTCTAATGAGGCATGTCACTCCCATTACTCCTTGGCAAACGATCAGGTAGCAGGTTTTGTATCCTAATGCACTAACCAGAGATAATGGCAAACCATTGTAGTCACTTCTTCAAAACTGCTCCTTGTGGGGTTGTTCAGAAAACCCCTTCATGGTCTGGATTTTAACGCTTTAATCACCGCCACCATTTTTCAGTCCCTCTTACAGAAGCTCTCCTTGGTCTGGGATGCTGACATTTGCCTCACCTGCACACTCTGTGAAGGCCATGGTCCAAAGGACCCCAGGAATGGGAGAAGGCCATGAGCACAGCCACATGAGAGCAAGTGAGGTGGCTAGCACAAGTCAGGAATCAGATCTAGTAGCTGCCAGCAAGGGTTATTTCCCCCTGCCCAATCCACTTCTATACACTTTGCTGCAAGCACTTTTCCTGTTAGTAAAACAAAGTAGATTCCTATTTCCACATTCATGACTATGTGCCCTTAGCCTCTTCATTTCTGCTGCTCTGCCGTCAGCCCTTTGCGAGATAAGCATTTATTCCCCTTGACCTTACTTCACTCTGCGTCTTCATGTGTTTTCAAATGGCCTTTACATACATCAACAACTGCTCAACCTCATGCAAACAACCAGAAACTAAAAGGAAGACACCATGTGCATTTTACAGGTGAGCAAACATCAAGTCAGATGGCGCAAGGTGCTGGCAAAGAGTAAAGCAGCAGACCCTGCGAGGACTATGAATTGGAACATCCTCTTTGGATGGCAACGTGGAAGCCATCTAACAAAATTTTAAATGCAGGCACCCTTTGACCCAGTCATTTCTCCTCTAGAAATTGATTCTGGGCTATTTGTCCTCATTTATAGGAGGGTTTGTTGTAGCACTGTCTTTAGCAGCAAGACTAGAAACTGCTTCAACACACCTCAACAGAGTGGTTAATTAAGGGCGCATGCATTCAGAGGAAAATTATACAGCCATAAAGAATGATGTGGACTAGCATGAAATGATTTCCAAGATATAGTTCAAAGTCAAAAAAGGAACATGCCCACCAGGGAAGGAAGTGTGTGCTGTTGTAGAAAACACACAGCTGGTTGGGTGCAGTGGCTCACGCCCGTACTCCCAGCAACACTACAGATGGCCAAGACAGGAGGATGGCTTGGGCCCAGGAGTTTGAGACCAGCCTGGGCAACATAGGGAGACCTCATCTCTACAGACATTAAAAAAAGATAATCAGGCATGCTTGTGCATGCCTATGGTCCCAGATACTCAGGAGACTGAGGTGGGAGGATTGCTTGAGCCTGGGAGGTGGAGGCTGCAGTGAGCCGAGATCACACCACTGCACTCCAGCCTGGATGACAGAGTGACAGCCTGTCTCAAAAAGAAAATACAAGGCTGTATATACACAAACATATAAGTGCATAGGACATCTCTGGAAAGAGTCAACACATGGAAAATTCAGAATATCTCTGGAGGAAGATAGATTTAGGGATGAAGGAAACCTGACTTTGTACTGTGTACCTTTTGGTCTTGTATAAAGTCTTACCATTTGCCCATCTTACTTTTCCAAAAGAAGTTAAAATTCTTTTCATTAATGTTTTAACAAGGTAACACTGTAAGATGGAGAACTGTCAAGCACTGCTTAAAGACAGAATCTACCCACCTTTCAAAGCTGGAAGCAATTTACAGAGGTGGCTACTTTTGTAAATCAATGATGGCATATGCTTCCCCGCAACAGGAAAACACTGGCATGCAAGCTGGTCCCCGTGCTTAAGCTCTCCGGGCAAAAGTTTCCTTATCAGTAAAATGAGGACACTGACCTAAGCGATCTCTTAGATCTGTTTTCTGGTGCAAAATATCTATGATTTTAATTTAAACCAATTTCATGTTCCCATGAAGCAGTGAGAGTCGAGCAATGGGCTCTCATCCATAACCCAAAGCCTATCTCAATGCAATTAAGCCAGCCATTCAAAATAATTTTACACTGAAGCATCCTTTAAATATATTCAGAGCACAGAATTTATTGAACGTAACATGGAGACAGCTAGTACAAAAGTGTATGCCTTGGCAGGGCAGGCTTCATCAGGCTGATATGGAACATGGGAACACATGCTATCAATGGCTCTTTTGGTCTGGACCCCGCAGAAATACATCTCCTTCCCTCTGGGAAACAACATGTCAGCTGCCAAGCCATGAATTTATTATGTATCAGATAACCAAAATGTGCAATGGTAAAGAGTCCTTTCCTGCATCAACTTTTTAAATGACTTCCATGTCAAAGCAGAAAATACAATGAAAAATACATAAGGGAAAAATTATGAGAACTAAAGCATTCTACATCTCTTAAGACACTCAATTCCTAAAATGTTAACATACATCCAAGACGATAAATGCACACATCAGAAACTGCAGGAATCTTTTTTCAACATAGGTAGAAAGATGCAGAATAGGGAGAGAACAGCATGGATTACTGAAACCATTTATTCACTCAAAAAGGAGAGAAAAGGTGAAGGGAACACTGAAATAGATCATTTTTAGTTTCTTATAGGAAGTTCGAAATGACAGTTTATATATAGTCTTTTAAAAAGAAACGACAGCAACAGAAATGAGAACCAAATATATTTTGCATTTTTCTCTCAGTGTGTAAGCCTGCAACACCTTACTTAGGCTATAGGCGAAGGAAAAATATAAAAAGTCACTCCCATTGACTATTTTCTCAGCACCTCATACAGTAGCAAATACAGAAAGGGTACTTATGAAACATTTGTAAGGAGTTGAGTGAATGATAAAAAGCAAAAAGCAGTTCTTGTGTGCGTAGTCTCAGTATTACAGACAATAAATTCTGACCTTTGAATTCACATAAAAGATGAAATGGAAAAACAATTTAACATGGATGCTGCACTAGAGGATTAACAGCTGAATTCAGTTTATTTCTTAAAAAGAAAAGAAAGACGGGAATGCAGGCAGCCAGTTCAGAGAAACAGCCAGGGCTTTTTTGCATGACATGGAAAAGCCAGCAAGTCAACGTGTGAAACATGCACACTAATTTCTCATCTTCTTAAACTCTAAAAAGCCCCGCAATCTTGTTAGCACTAAGCCTGGATGAAATTGTGTTAAGATATCTGATTAGTCTCCCTTAGTTGGCATTTTCCAAAGGAAAACAAAAAGTAACCTGTTTTATTTCGGTCAGACATGGCTTTGGGTATCAGAGAAATGCAGCTCTGACAGCAGCTGCACCTGCAGAAGCCCGGACATGCTCCTGCGGCTCATCAGAATGCAAGTGGGAGAGCAGGCCAGCAAGCAAGCATCCTCCTGCACCCACATCCATTAGCCAAATGATTACATCTCCATCAGCCCGGTGGTGTAATAAAGCAATTGTAATAGGGCATTGTTACAGGATCAATGTTTCCTGGTTTAAAAATAAACATCAGCATTTATCTAGCAGCACAAAGCGATTCTCCCACAGTACGGTTTTATTCAACTGACATCTTTTAATCAAAGCAATCCATATCGTGGCAACATTCCAAGGTATCATAATTGCAAATATTTATGGCAAGTTAGATAATGGCTACATTTTTGTTGCTACATTTTTCTTCCTTTTCTACAGATTTGATGCAGACATTTTCTAATAAGTTAATTCCATTAAAAAGATCTCAAGTAATTATATTCAAGACAACCTCTCATCCGCCACCTCCATCGGTTTCCCTTTTAACTATTATGCATAACTGCTTATGTGAGTTCATGTCTTTTAAATTTTTCAAAATACCTCTGTAATGAAGATAAATTAAAACAAAGCCCCTATTGTTAAGTGCCATAGATATTGCTAAAAACATGGCACGGAGGGAGGCCAGGGCCCCTCGGCACAGGTATGGGTCAGCTCCTGCACCCCAGCTAATGTTCTTGGTGGCTGAGCCTCATGTGCTAAGTATGTGGCTAATGGGATTCAGAGGCTGGAGGAAGTCTGTGAAGCTGGCAGCAGACCCATTCCCACAGCCTCCCAAGCTTGCCTCTCAGCTGATGCTCCTTATCAGGGCTCCTATTACCTGCTCCCTTGGCTGATTTCCTGGAGAAACGCAGTGCTAATTCAGGGAGAGGCCTGAGACATCAGCAGCTCAGCTGTTTTCAAACCTCAGCAGGCCGCTTCTGTAATACCAATTTTAATGAACTACCCTCATTCACATTTAATTTACAAATTATGTAAAGCCTCCAAGTAAAGTGCTTCCATCATCTTCTTGCCGAGTCAGAATGGTAATATTCTTTCTAAAGCCCCCAAAGTCACTCCCCAGGAGCACTGGGCAGAGATCTTCAGGCAATGAGAAAACGGAAAATGCACTTTTTTTCACCGTCTGGAGTGTGTTGAGTTTCCAAAAGAAAAAGAAACTGAACTACAGTCTTAATTCTACTTACTTTAGTTTGAAAACAACTGAATAAAGTAGGGAGGCAGGCACATAAAAGATGTACAGATGGGCAGAGTAGCTAAGGCAGGAGGGTTTATCCACTCAGTTCCCTGGAGCAGATTTTCAGAGCTGAAATGCTGTCTTTGCAATGCAGGCCTTACAGTGACTGATTTAGTTCTAAAAAGTTGCCCAATTTCACCTCCTGGAGCCTTTATTTCTTCACATGCAAAACAGAGCCATCAACCCCCGCACCCCAAGTCACAGTTGTAAGGATTAAGTTCAATGAACGAATGTATTGGAAATGTTCTATACAGGTAAGGAAACAACAGTAACTTTCTTGAAAAGGTTCCTATCAGAACAGATCTGAGGAAGGCAGGTGGTGCGGAGAAGGCTTTCTCCAAATCCAATCAGGTCACAGAAACTTGAGGGACCCAATTTGCGTAGGGCACGCGTGATCTCAAAGCTGCTCTTGATGTTACCAAAGAATGTGTTGGCCTTATGGGATTTGTGTGTCATGAACTAGAGTCACCCGTCTGTACTCTGGAGGGGGCTTTCTAAATACAATGCCATTCCCGCTCATCTCTGAGAAGACTCCTACTCAACAACAGCAAACATGGCCCCGAGCTTAATTCAGAGAGGTCTCCTCAGAGTGGTAACTTTTGATTCATCCCATAGTTTAGTTTAGTTCTCCTTCTGGCCAGACAGCAGGAGCAGGGGCAGGGGAAGCCACGATGTGAGGCCCTTGAACGAAATGCCATCTCCAGCAGGGGGAAGCAGTTGCCTCTACACTGAGATGGTCTCAGGTTAAATGTTATCCAGGTGTTCAAAGTGACACTTAGAAGCCCAAGACCGCTATCTCTGGATATACATATTTTCAAACTACAACAAGAAATGGACCAGTCCTTTAGAGAAGGAGCTGAAAATAACAAATGGCATTGTATTTTGGCATGGATTCTGGATTGCAAATACAAAAATTTGTGTGTGCAAAAAGTATAGGCAAGATTGGAAAACTGTCAAGCTACTGACATACGGCACATATGCTACACATGCACACATGCATGCACACACTCACTTGCACATGCTCACTTGCACACACACAGCCTGTTTTCAAATTAATTTGAAAGGCTCTTCAGCTCTGAGCTCTCACTACATCCAGTTCTATCTGACTCAACACAGCCCGCAAGCTGGGCACTGATATCTTTTGATAGCAATTCTGTTCCTGGGATTTGTTTGAAAGCGTTTAGGTTTTCACGGATCACTAGAGGTTCTTCATTTTTCCCCCTTCTGTGTTATGGAGGTATAAGCCATCTCTCTAGGCATGAACTGTCCACTGGTAAAAATCAATTTTGATTTTATCAGTATGTATTACTGCCGGTGCCAGCAGTTTAGAAGACTAGAGAGGGAAAACATGCAAACTAGGAGGAGAAAAACATTCAAGCCAGTTCCTCACACCTACAAATAATACAGCCTGCTGCCTTTAAGAGGTATTTTGTATCATGCCAAGGAAGCTTAAATTATCAATTTAAAAATTCAATCAATAAAAACTTTCAGGATTCTGTCACTGCTTCCGTCTCTTCTGTATTTGTGAGCACTATGGCTGGAATTTCTGAAGCCAGGGCCATCCTCTCTGAGGTGCCGTGGAGCCCGTAACTGCGGGAGCAGAGTGGAGGGCAGGCTGGCTGCAGCTCCCCCATGCACACTGCCCGGTGGCACCTTACCCAGCCTCGCTCTTTCCATGTTTCATCCTGATTATCTGACTCTTAACCTCGTGGGGCAGGGAAGGCTTTTGTGACAGGCCCCGTATTAACCTTCTCTTTGCCTTCCTCTCTTTTTTTCATTATGTAATTCTAGGAAAGACACCCTAAATATGCATGCATCCCCAAGTTCTCCAGAGCCGCACCTGCTCCACATTCTTTCTTTTCCTGGCACATTTTTGGCTGCCAGGATGACTGAGAAATAACCAACCTTCCCACTACTCACCTGCTTCTCTTTCCCAGGAGTTTCCTTCTGCCATTCAGTCAAAAGCCCCACAAACATTCACCACATCCTAACCTCTAGAAGGAGAGAGACTTCAGAGGATGATTAGCTGCAACCAAAATACCCACATCCTCTGAGAAGCTGAACAGCTTCTCCTAGATGTACACAAAACTCTTAAATCATGTTCAAAGGTCTAAAGCAGAGTAGTTGCCCAGATAATTCATTTCAAGAACTGTCACAGACTCAGGCCAAATCCTGTGACCTGGCTGTTTTGTGAATAAGGTTTTATCAGAACACACGGCCATATCCTTTAAAAATAAATAGAGCCCTGCTCTAGTGTAATGCGGCTGTACTGCACACCTAGGCACTGTTGGGGGCCATCTAAGCACTCTCCTGTCAAGGACATGAGGGCCTGGAAGTTACAGAAACACTTAACCGGCTGCAGCACCTCCAATTAGCAAATGTCAGTCCCCTGTGGAAAATTAGGTGGCAGAAGGTGTGTCTTACAGCTCGGTCTTTTCACTCCCATGGGGGTCCACGTGGGAAAAATGCTGGAGATGAATTCATATTGGGGTGGCCTCCTGTCTGCATACTCAACGCAATCCATGGTGACTGGGTAAGAACTAGGTCTGCTCACCACTTCTGTGAGTACCTGGGATTTAAAGTGAACTTTTTTCATGAAGACAGGAAGTTACTTACTCAGACCAGGTGGACTTCCACTTCACCAGTTTCAAGAGCCATGACCCAACTTGACAGAGCCAGGCTTAGGAGCAATGTGACTCGATGTATGTGACTTCTAAGGACTGCCTTCATTCTGATGAACCTGTCCTCTCAAGCCTGTGCACACAGTGGGACTGTACCCAGCATGCCTGTCACTAGTTTCAATGGCATGGTTCCCTGACCTAGCAGAGAGACTTTTTACTGAAGGCCAAAGCAATGGAAGGCCAAGGGTGACCAGGTGCTTAGATATTCAGCAGTTTTATTTTTTCATACTGTCAGTTGAAAACAAACAAAAAATACACACACACACACACACACACACGTGTATAGTTAAATCATTAAATAAGTATTTCTCAGTGAAAGGGCTCATTTTAAAATCAACCTTCCAATGGCAAAATAATAAAAACAATAACATAATTCCCCTCACACAGCAAATTTGACAAAATGACAAAAGAACTCTTAATTTTGGGGCTTTATTATAATTTTTGTTTTCAAGATACTACATAGTCAAACAGAACTGGATTGGTCTTTTATGGCATAAAATTAATTCACAGTCAAACTCCCAACTAGGTACTAGATGGATTCGCTGAAGAGTCTCTCTCCCACTGCTCCCACCCCCAACTGCTGGTGCACTCGCTTCTAACTCTCTGCAGCCTGATCCATTCGCCCTGACTCGAAGCTAGGACCCCAAGGGGAGGTCAGGATCAGACTTGGACCTGGGTGCTGGAAGTATAAGTAACGATTGAGAGGTGGTATAAAAACAATCTAGAAGACTTGAGTACTCTTCATTTAAAAAGGTAACCTAGAGTTGACTGTCACTACTGAGAATTTCCCTCCCAATGACAGTTGTTATTTACTGACCCAGAAAAACACTTCCTGGCAGCTCTTCTCCAACATTCCAATAAACCCCACCTCCACATGACCAGGCTCTCCAGAGACAGAGGAGCCCACAGTCCTCCAGCAGCAATACCAGTTCACCCACCAGAGTTTGGCAGCACGCAGCATTAACTGTACTCTTGTGACAATAAGAAAACATGAGATGAAATACATTAAATAAGTTAAGTATGCATTAAACATCTCGGAATAACAGTACAACTTCACTACATGAACCAATAAAAATTTAGCTTGGTCCCTTTAAGAGAACAAAGCATTGCCATTTATTTCCAAAGCATTGGGTCAATCAGTCAACACACGCCTCTCACTCATGATGGGTACGTCTGATGCTGCCACAGTGCAATTCCTTTGGGCTTCTGACTCTGTTCATCAGTCCCAAGGAGCTGATGGCTTGGACAGAACTGAAGACACGGAAAGCAGCCTGGGGCAGGAGTGGGCCACGTGGGGACTACTGTGTGGAGCTGACCGCACTCCCCACCACGCTGGGCTCCAGCTCTCCACGGGCCAGCACCGACAGGCGAGGAAGAGTGTCTTGTTTTAAGAGAGGTAATCCAGCATCATGTACCAAGGCCTACCAATGTTTAAGATGACGTTTACACTATGCCATTGTGGCATTACTCATGGTTTCCCTCGTCATTAATAAAGATCATTCTTCCCCCCCAATCATTTACTATACATTTTTAACTTTCTAAAAGATCGTTATATTATATTTGTGTGCGTGTATTTGTGTATGTGTGTGCAGGGTGGGGTAATTTAAAGGCAAGACCTGTGAGATGTCATCATACATTAATTTCTTTTTACACATGGTTATGATAAATTTAAATCCCATGATATGGTGGATCCATCAATCCAATTTACCATCCTGTGCATGCTACCTCTACAAGGCAATCTTCCCAATAATTACACCAACGATAAAGAATAAAACCACCAGAGCCAAGAGCCGGGTGCTAAGGCCTTCTTCCTTCCCAATTGGGGTTAACACGGAAATGGGGCTGTTGCTCTGCACTGTCTTCCTCATCCGCAGTCCATCTTCTTCCTACAGGAGCAAATGCACATTTCAAAGACAATCCAAGGCACCAGAAAGGGGAGTCAACTGTACAGCTTAGCAGGATAGGCTGTTTATGCCCAGTGTTGGAGGACATGATACGGTCCAACCTCATTTTGCAAATGGAGAAACTGCAGGCTACAGAGCAGAAGGGACTAGCCTGAAGCCACTGAGAAAACAGTCCCCTCTTTTATTTCATACATTCCAGTTGATGCTGCTAGTTATAACACAAATCTAAGCAGGGTGCTCCTTGGTTTCCCATGATTTACAGAAAAAAGCTTTTAAATGGGTCAACTAGGCCCTTTGCAGCCTCAGCCCCATCCACCCTTATGGCCATGTCTTCAGATGCTTTTCTTTAACCCCAACCTCTCTGTCCTTCCTGCCTCTAATGAATAGGCTTCCTTGATCAAATCATCATCAATTTTTAAAATCATAGGCATTTCCAAAGACATAAATATACAAATCATGAGAATCTACTAAGTCAGCTGGGCACTTTGGGAGGTTGAGGCAGGTAGATCACCTGAGCTCAAGAGTTCGAGACCAGCCTGGTCAAAATGATGAAACCCCACTTTTACTAAAAATACAAAAATTAGCCTGCATGGGGCAACACAGTGACATTCCATACCAAAAAAAAAAAAAGAATCTAAAAGTGGGACATCTGGAAGCTTTCAAATGAAGAGCTCTGTACTCTGTACATAGCTGGTACTTGATGAGTTACAAACAGACTGCTGGATCAAATGACATTTGGAATATTAAAATGTGGCTGGCCTTGGTACACTCATCTCAAACAGTTTCTACTTAATGTATAGATTTATCATTGAAGAAACAACATTCTTTTTCATACATATAAAAATGCTTGACCATATTCCCCACACCCCCCCTTGTCCCCAAACTACATGGATGTGCAAGAAATCAAAAATGTTTTCTTCCTTCACCTCCACTGCCACAACTGCCTTGCACTTTCCTAAGAATCTGCAAGTTACTATTTAGATCTACGATGCCATTTCCATGCCCTCAAAGCCACGTCCACATCCCTGAAGAGGGACATGCATCAAGGCCATTTCTATTCTGGCCCAGACTTACCATGGCTGCCAGATCTCTTGCTAATCACCTCATCTACTCACCCCTAAACCCCACGCACCAGCTGTACTTTCTTTTATTTCCTTCCATGCTCTCCCATCCCCCTGAATACCGAGCAGGTCCTGAGGCAGGTGAGTCCCGGGGCCGGCTCTCCTTGCAATTTGTTGCTACCTCTGTGGGACATTTATCACACTGGCTTGTAATCATTTCTGTCTATGTCTCTCCCTGCTAACCCATCACCAGAGAGCTCCCCAAGGGCAGGAACTGTTCGTGTTTGAATCCGCAGTGCCAGGCACATATTAGACCCTCAGTAAATTTGTTGGAGAGATGACAGAATAAACCAACACAAAACAAAAAGCAGTGTTTGGCAGGATAAAGAATCTTCTAATGTCGAGATTGGTCTGATAACATTTTGAGGATATTCTGCTCTTGGGGCATAGCCAGTATCACTGCACAATGATAAACAACTGGTGGTGTTCGACTGGCTTGAAAAAAAAAATGGGCACGGCAAACTACAGCATTTATTTTATTGGGTTTATATAGAAGCTATTTCTACCTATTTATCTCTTTAAACAGCACAGAACTCTGTTTCTGAAGAGAAATACACTCGAGGAAAAGCTTTAGGTATAGCTTAGATTTTTAGCCAAAAAGTAGTGTCAGCTTCACAATTTATTCCACACAAAAGAAGTTACTGATTGAGCCAAATCAAGATCACTGCAAAGGAAGACGACACTCAGTTCTCCTAAATCTATCTCATCATCAGAATAAGAGAGAAGGAAAAGTCAAGTTATATGAATTTATTGTATGTACCTGGCTGTAGGGTAGTTTAAGAATGAAAGCCTATTACATGCTTGGGTGACATGATCAAGATTAAGGAAACAGGCCTAAAAATGTAAGCTGCAACAAACATTTCTATAATCTGATGTTCAGAAATGTTCTCTTCAATACCATGTCTAACACAAACTCATACTTTTAAAGCTGGAAGGGGCCTTAGAGGTGTTTAGCAAACAAAGGCCTAAGACATGCTGTGACCAGCACAGATTCAGAGCTGTTTCAAATTGGATGAGAGCAACTTCCACACCACTACAGGCCTCTAAGCCAAAAGAAGCACCCCCTGCCTCCCTTCACCACTCAGTACAATTCAACCTTCCACTGCCAATGCCAACTGCTTCATCAACGAGCTAGGGGCTCAGGTTTTCCTTCCATAATCCCCACCTCCTATCCACTGTGAAGCATTCCACCTCCAGTCTCATCATGACACCAATCAACAGTTTGATGAGCCATGACTGCCCAGACCTATTTAGAGTCTTCTAAAATCAGAACTATACCTGCATTAAAACAGAGTATAGGTCAGTATTTACCCTCTAAAAAAAAGAGATTCTCACTCAAGTGAATGGGGATGGCATGGGGTTTAAAAACGCATATTCAAAATAAAAACTGCTATTTTGTTCTCAACATTTATTTTCAATTTATACTAATGGAGAGTGTGAGATTTTTGTTGTTTTTTTTTTAAAGGGGACAAGGGCTTAAACAGTTGAGAACTTCTGATCAAGGGACAGTGGCTGTTAATTTAGGCAGATCCAAGGACCCTTTTGAGAATGTGATGAAAGCTATGGAAATTTCTTCCCAGGGAGGAAAAAAATAGGCAAATGCCAAAAGCAAAAAGAAATCTATATATTCACTGGTTCATCAACTTCCTTACGCAAGATCCTAGTGAAAACGCCCTTGTTCTCTGTAGATTACCAGAAAATAAACTATTACCTTGAACTGCTTGTTCTCCTCCCGTAGCCTCTGAACTTCACCTTGCAGCCTCTTACATTCTTCCATAACCTTCTTAACTTCGGCGTCATCCAAAGAACTCAGAGACTTAGACACTGTTGGTGTTTCTGTCTTTGATGCAGTTGTGGATATAATTTTATTTATTTCTACATCAAGCTGTTCAAAAATAAATGAAAGCCTAAGTGTCACCAACCATGTAATAAAGGACTTTTTTATGCAAAGTAGTTGCATACACCAAATGTGGTAGCATTTCACCCACACTGTAAAATGTCACATTTACTTTTCAAATGGATCACTTTATCTAGTATCTTAATAATCTAAAGCAACTGAGCTCTAGAAATTATGGATAAGGGCAAATGATGAAGTTCAGCTGAAGCTAATACTTCAAAGAAAGAGAAAAGGGGCTGTGTATATTGCACTATCAAATTCCTGCCATGCAAAAATTAGCATACTGTAATTGTGCAAGCTCAGGAATTATTAGCCACAAATTACTGTCACCATAAAGATGTGAACATCCCTAAGACTGCCTTGGTGGGGATAGGAGGCTCGGGAAAGCGTTACGCTGAGGGTGATTTATTTTACCAACTTAGCATTTGGAAGCTGGGATTAAGGTGAAACAAGCTCAGTGTCTGCAGTGTTTCAATCTTGAGAAGCTACATACTCCCCTCATGTCCCCTGCCAAGACTGAGCTATGAGCCCCCTCTTGAGATTTACTGGGATGAGAGCCAGTCAGTAGAGGGAGGGCATGGGAGCATGCAATTTGTCAGGGAAAGAGTAACTGAGGATCACTGACCTGGGTAGCAAACTGAAAACCAGGAATCTAGCTCTACCCATCATTTTCCAGATGAGAAGAGTGGGCCCTGTAAGGCAAGGCCCCAGGCTACCAAGTCAACCTATCACAGAGCTGAGGCCAGAATACAGGTTTCACAACTTCCAAACTGACCTTGCTGTGACAGGATGTACACTGGGAAGAGGGAAAAATGACCACTTAAAGAAACAGGGTTATGATAGTGGTAATGACTGAGCAGAAAGAAAATACCAGGTAATCTGACACAAATCAACATCATCCCTGCAGACCAACATGGATACTGTTAACAGAACATTTTGGGACACTGCTATTCCCAACTCCAGCTATTAACCTCTAGGGTAGTTTCATATGCTGCATGTATTCAGTTTTGGTGTTTTTATCACAATTAAAATGTTTCTGACTATGCTGAAGGGAAGCCCAAATGAGCATTTCAGTTACAGTCTCCTTTCTTCAACTGGTCACAAGAGAGGACCGTGAAAGAGACCATGAGCAGACAGCCTAGAGGATGGGGCTCCTGTCTTCTCCCAGGTAGGCAACACAGGAGTGGGATCATTCTCAATGGGGTTGATACTGCCCTCCAGGACACATGTAATATCTGGAGACATTTTTAGTTGTCACAGCTTGGGAGTACTACCCGTATCCAGAGGGCAGAAGCAAGGGATACTGCTATTACTAAGAGACCTTGCAGTACACAGGGCAACCTCCACCATCAAGAATTATCCACCCCAAACGACAACAGTGCTGAGATTAATCCTCACCTAAAAGCAATCTTTGACTGAAGATGTAGATAGGGTAAAAGGGGTAGGGAGGCTGACAGGGCACTCTGTAGAACAAGAGAACCTGAGAGCTTCCCACCCGTCCATCAAGCACCATAATAAAGGGCAAATTATTCCCTGTTTGACTTCATTCACTGTTTAACAGTGACCTATACCTTTGCCAGGCCACAGAAGCTCTTTGGGATTTATGACATCGCAATGGCTGTTGGGCTGCACTTTTCAAGGGGAAACACTGTGTCAATCAGTTGTCTTTCTGCAAGTTTTTCAAAGGCTGATTTCCTAAAGGCCCGCTTATTTGTTGACGTCAGCTTACTTTTTTCTTCAGACATCAGAGAAAGGAAAATAATTTGTCAGCTTAAATCTTGGTTTTTCCAGGAGATGGTATGCAAATAAGTATCAGCTTGCAACATTCAATTATTGTTAACTATAAACATACTTACTGGTTTATCATTCTCTGCTGGCAATTCAAACACACATCTAAGTTTTGAATCCATAAGGTCTTCCGGTTTTGCCTCCTTCCACTAAAACAATTTAAATTTAATAATCAAGATATTATAAAGCTGCAAGAAGAATAATTTTCTTCCTATGACAATTTCAGAAAAATACTCTTAATGAGAAAACCCCAATGCATATCAAATAAAGAACTAAAGTCTGCTGAGATTCCAATATTTGTAACATGACGAGAGTAAACACACTTGCCTTCTTGAATATTTATTACACTTCACAAACCCTGAAGACGTGCTGCCTGACTCCTCAAAGTCAACCAATGCTCCCCATGTTGCTACTCTGTGGGAGAGGCCCACCACTGAACCAAAAGGAATCCTCTAAATAATGTCTGGCTGACCAGAGGTAACCTTGGTTCTCCTTATGAAAATAAAACTTATTTTAGACTGGGCATGGTGGCTTACGCCTCTAATCCCAGCACTCTGAGAGGCTGAGGTGGGAAGACTGAGGACTGATTGAGCCCAGCAGTTTAAGACCAGTCTGGGCAACGCAGGGAGATGCTGTCTCTACAAAAAAATTGAAACATTAGCTGAGCATGGTGGCACATGCCTGTGGTCCCAGCTACTCAGGTGGCTGAGGTAGGAGGCTCGCTTGGGCCCAGGAGGCAGAGGCTGCAGTGAGCCATGATCACACCACTGTACTCCAGCCCAGACAACATTGAGAGACTCTGTCTCAAAAATAATAAATTAAATTTAAATGCATATCCTTCTTAGAAAGTGTAAGCACATACTATCTGGGAGTGGTTTTAGAACCACTCTGCCAACCTCCAACGGAAAGCAATCATTACCAAATCCCTCCTCTGACACTGTGGCAGTGTCTCCATCTCTCCAGGCTGTAGTGAGAGCATCGTCCTAGCTAAATCCCATGTTCTAAGAGGATGTGCTCCTGATTACTTCTCCTCTTGGCAGCAGAGGATGGGAATTTCAGGGTACTCTAGGATTATAGACCAGCATAGCAGCAAGGTTATAATATAGAAAAAGAAGGCAACTCCCACCCTCTGTGCCTCCAACCCTTCCCAAAACTATGCAAGAGGCAGCTAGTGCAACACAGGTACTAAAAACCAAAAGTAGGGAATGATCTATACATCTGACAATAGGGAATTGCCACAAAAATTATGGCAGATCCGCTAAATGCAATAGCATGCTGCGACTCAAATGATGCAGAAGAGCATTCAGTTAGATGGAGGAAATGTCCAAAATATTAAGTGAAGAAACTGAAAAGAATACTGAAGTCTGCTCCTCTGCACACACACATCTGTACATGTATGCCTATGCACATGTGTCAAAAGAACATCAGGTAAAGATCATCACTGAATGCTAAAGCCACCAGGAGAAAGACTGCTGGCAAACAGGATATTCATGTGGTCTCAGAGTCAGATGATTCAAGGGTATCACAGATTACCTATTAACCACAGGGGCAAATGTGCTTTGTGCTATGACAGTGGAGAGAGCTGGCAGTTGCCATCTTAACAAAGTGATCAAACAGCATCACCAACAGCAGGACAACGTGGTATGAAATACCAACTATGAAGTATTAACTATGGAATATTCTTGCCAAAACACATTTAACTTTAATTTAATCATAAAGAAATAAACAAATCCAGAATACAGGACATTCTGTAAGTCAACTGGCCTGGACTCCAAAAAAAAAAAGTTCAAAGTTTGGGCAGAGTGCAGTGGCTCACACCTATAATCCCAGCACTTTGGGAGGCAGCAGCAGGGGGATCACTTGAGCCCAGGAGTTCAAAACCAGCCTGGGCAAACAGGGAGATCCTGACTCTACAAAAAATTAAAAATTAGCTGGCATGGTAGCATGCTTGTAGTTCTAGTTACTCAAACAGCTGAGGTGAAAGGATCACTTGAGGCCCGGAGGTCGAACCATGATGGTGCCACTGCACTTCAGCCTGGGTGACACAGCAAGACCTTGTCTTTAAAAAAAAAAAGCTCAAAATTTGAAAAACAAAAAGGTTTGGGCTCTCTACTAAAGGCCATTTTTAGAACAATTGGAAAATAATGACTGAATTTATTACATAATAATACGGAATTAAAGTTAATTTTTTCAGTTATGATTAATAGTACCATGGCTATATAAGAGACTATCCTTGCTCTGGAGTATTTAAGGTAAAGTGTCATAAAATCTGCATCTTAAGCAAATAAAAAAGTTTTTGACAGAAAGGAAACAAACATGTTAACAAATGACAAATCTAGGTAAAAGTTATATGAGTGGTCACCATGCTATTTTTTCAACTTTCTGTATATCACAATAAAAAGAAAAATATTTTAAAATAAAGAAAAAGCAGACCAGGGGCAGTGGCTCATGCCTGTAATCCTAGCACTTTGGGAGGCTGAGGTGGGCAGATCGCTTCAGTCCAGGAGTTTGAGACCAGCCTGGGCAACATGGAAAAAACCTGTCTCTACAAAAAACACAGATAAATTAACCAGGCATGGTGGTGTGCTCCTGTGGTCCCAGCTACTTGGGAGAATGAGGTGGGAGGATCGCTTGAGCCCAGGAGGTGGAGGCTACAGTGGGCCAAGATCACTCCACTGCATTGCAGCCTGGGTGACACAGTAAGACCCTGTCTAAAATAAAATAAAGGCAGAAAAAGCACAAAGTTCTCATTAACAATGGTTAGACATAGTAGAAAAGAACTATGGGTAACTTTAAATTTTTTTCATTTGTATATTTTGAAAATTTCCCACATTGTACATTTTATATATTAAAAAAAATTAAACTGTTATAAAAATCATCATATAAGGAACTAAAACGACCCTTTACTGGATATGTGATGCCTGGCCTACTACACTCTGATAGGCAAGTGTAAGACACTGGACCGACCAGGCACTTACACAAGGCACACTTCACACTCACCACTATGTGAGCTGCATTTTTATCCCTATTTTACAAACGACCAAAACCTCGACAGAGTTAATAAAACCTGCTCCCAGCCACAACGTTAGTAAAAGGAAGGACTCAGCTCCAAAACACGCAAGCCCATGCTCTTTTCACTAGGCCATGCAGCAAAAGCCAAATAGAACACACCCTTGGATCTTCCGTATTTTCTATCTGCCATGTTTCCTTGCTCACACAAATTAACAGAAAGTAATACATCATGTTGCAGAAAATCAAAGAGAATGTTTTCATAAGAACTGTTCTTATGAAAAGAAGACAACCTATTATCATTGACCTCTCTATAACTCAAAAATGTCTGGCCTACAAGTGAAACATAAGTGGAGGTCTTTTTTAAGAACTAAAATAAAAGGCTATGTGGCGATACAGGGCATGGGGTGGGTGTGGCTTGAGCTGCCCTTGGTATGAAACTCAGACAGAGGAGAATTGCAGTATGGTGTGAGGAACCCCTGACTCAGGTGGGCAGACCTGCCTTGGATGACTCGGGGCTCTCTTCTGGGCTGGCCAAAGCTGGAAAGCAATGCAAGTGGTATGAGGCAACCCTATCCTGCTTTCCTGAACTGCAAGGACAAGCGCATCTGTCCCTGCTGGGGCTGTGGGTTGTAACATTTGGAGATTTCTATTCAACTCCCAGCCCCAGAATGCCTATGGATTTATTAAAATGTATAAAAAGCTCACTTTGGGGGGAATGTCCATTATATTCTCTTATTTTTCCCAGAACCATCACTAATATTTATTTCATTTACAAAAATAAAGTCATCTTAATTTTACCAAAATTAAAGTTAAACATATATTTAAAAGCAGGGGGGAAAACAAATAATAATACTTACTATAACACCCCCCCCTTCCGCACACACAAACACAGTCTAAACAGGTGAGAACATTCAGCATTTTGACACTCTCACATGGCTCTGAGTTTGTGAGGCATGAGAAGACAAGGTAAGAAACAGGCAGCACAATGAAAATTATCCTTTTCTGTCAGGGCAGAAAGGGGAGGTAAAAGAAGACAATCCCTAACCATTCAAGACACCATCCACCAATGCAAGGAGCTGATGAAGCATACTGAGCTCAGAGAAGTCAGAAAAGAACAGCCTTCTAGAAAGTCACATAAAATGTTAAAATTATTCCTCAACGTTTTAGAAAAACCAGAAAGCAGACAAGGTACAAACCTCCTTAAAAAAACTATTCCCTTTTAAACAATTTTGACATATTTTGAAATGCATGCACCCACAATTCCATATCTATTTGGTTTTTAAAATTATTATTACTGAAAAAAATAAGAAGCATTCAGTACTTACTACTGCTTCCATATCTGAAGTGTCAGTTGGAGCAAACATAGACTGAACCATAAACTTGTGTTTACTTTTCTCATTGGGATCATAATCGAAAGGCTGTAACATCACTGAGAAAGAAAATATTTCATTAGGAGGGTCAGAGCTTGGTTGTCAGTGCCATTTGTTATGCTAATACTCGTACTTTGGTGTAAAGCAATTTATCAGCATTCTCTTATCTCTTAGGATGGACGCCCCTGGTGAAGTGAGCAAGGACGACTAACATCTCCATTCTGCAGGTCACCAACCTAAGAACCACAAAATCAGGGCATGACAGAGCTGGGAGTAAGTTGAGGACCTGGTCTTCTGATTCTTAGTCCAGGGACCTTTCACTACCGCAAGCCTACCATAAATGTCTGCTATAAGCCTTATAGAATCGGGAACCTGGGTAGAAACACTTTTGCCTGTTTTGCTCAAGAAAACATATCCAAATGATCTTTTTGGGAATTAGATAGAATAATCTAAGATGTTTAAGAACATTTAAGGAAATGTTTTAGCTTCTTTCCAACTTATTTCTCATACAGCTAATCAAGGTAATCCTTGAAATACAATTTTGCCAATAGAATGCTAGAAAACTTTTACAACCAGGACACTCACAGAGCAGGGAAGACAGCTTACACTCCCGCTTTTTCCCTAAAAACCTAGAGAAATCTCACGCAGAGGATCCTGTGGATGAGTCACACCCAAAGCAGGGAGGAAGGTGCCTTCCTATGCTGACTGACTCCCTTCAGCCTACTTCGTAGAGTAGAGCTGGGCCTACTATCAAATGATGGCTGCTTTAAAATATGTTACTTTGCTACAAGGCTTTGGCTAACCCACACATCTAGTTAAGTTCCCTGAAATAACTTCACATGCAGGGAAAGCCTACTGTGGCCTTGACCACAACAGTGGGCATGGACTGAGTGTTTCCATGTGCCAGAAACTAGGCTCTGTCCTTTAGATCTACCATGATCTCATTTAATTCTTAAAAAGTAGGTACTATTGCAGGGGGAGAGGGGTTATTCTGGTGTCTATTTTTCAGATGAAAAGAATGAGCACAGAGAGATGAAACTGCCCAAGGTCACATCTACGTGGAGTGCAGACCCAAACCCAGGCAGTTGGTATGGAGAGCCTACGCTCAAAGCCACCACAAAGCACTGGTGCCTTGTCCTCTGACAGTACAAGTCTTACACTTCTCACCACAGGGCTTCCACCACCTTTCTGCTGGGCCCTCATCAGCATTCTCTTCCCTTGAAACTCCCACTTAGGGCTTCCCAGGTACTTCGTCTAGAGCCACACAGTCAACCACAGCCAGCAGCAGATAGAGAGCAGGGTAGCCCTGGTCTACAAATGAAGAATCTGGGACTCCATAAAGTGAAGTGGCTCCTTCAAAGTCACAATGTTAGGAAGCAGCAACACTGGGACAAAGAGCCAACACATGATGATTCCAAGTACAGTCGAGCATCCCTTTCACCACACTAGTCACTCCAACATGAGCTGGATTTATATCTGGCACCCAGGCCCCAGGACAAAGCTAATGGAACCATTCAAGACAGAGGATAGAAATACCAACTTTACCCATCCATCTTAGGGATGCAGGGGCACTTTCCATCATGGAACAGAGAAAGTCCACTGAAACCTAACCAAGCATTGGATTTAAATGTCCTGGTGTCCCTAGTCACCCAGACAGCTTCACTGCCCACAAGGCTTCCTGTGCCCTGAGCTACAGGAAGCCTTGCTGGGAGACTTTTACAGGACAAAATTCAGTTAACTGTCAGAGAGTAAATCTTTTATCAACATAACTCTTTCTCTGGCATCACTGAGCTGGCAAGAGCTGAACTTTCCTATAGACAGACCTGGAACATTTACCTACCTGGGCATGACACTTAACCTCAGGGACAAATGACCAGACTGGCAGGTCAATGCTTCTCTGAAAGTGAAATTCCCAATGTGTTTTTTTTTTTTCCCGCCCCCAAGAGCCAATGTCTTCACACACTCTGTGCACTTTCCTGGACAGGGACTGTCAACCTTCTCTGGAGCTGGGACACACTGGTAGATTAATGTTCACTTTCTGTAATTACAGTGAATTCAGTTTGAAGAATTTCAGGTCTTGTTTGGCTGTGACAAAATCATGTTTTGGTATTTTTCAGTTTAGGAAAGAAGAGAACTTTCACCTGAACTACTTTTAGATTTCTGGCAGGGCACAGGTCTAGTACTAAACACTGCCTCACCCTTGAGTCTCTGTTCTCCAAGCTGTGAACAGTTGTTGCACCACCCCCATGTCCACCACTCTGGAGAGCCGTGAGGAGGAACAAGGTTTATTTGTAAAGAGCCCTGTCACGCTCATATGACAACAGTCCAAGGAAAATGCTAATCTTTAGAGAAGCTATTTAGATGAAAGATGAAAATAATATAATGGGTCCCGAGAAGAGAACACACCCCCAAAAACAGCCCCAGGAAGCTCTACCTGCCCCTTCCCATTTGTCACCTTCCTAGAGGCAGTGGGGGTAAAAACGTGCAGCCAAGAGCACCGTGTCCAGAGCTCTGCCTGCGTTCTAAGGAGGCCCCAAGGGAAAAGAGGCCCTTCCTTTCTATTTCTCCACCACCCCTCAGCTTCTTCATCCCCAATACTTTCATGATGCCCCAAGAAGGAAAGAAAGGAAAAGAACCTTTACTTGTGCCTACTGTGTAACAGGTGCCATCGAAGGCAAATTCTCCTTAGTTCTCCCACTTAATACAACAATTCATCAATGCAGTACATGCCTCCTTTTTCTAGATAAAAAGACAAGGACTGTCAGGTATGGTGGCTCACACCTGTAATCCCAGCACGTTGGGAGGTCAGGGCAGGAGGATCACTTGAGTTCAAGACCAACCTGGGCAACAAAGCAAGACCCCATCTCCTACCCCCAAAATATTAGCTGGGCATAGTAGCCTGTAGTCACGGCTACTTGGAAGGCTGAGACTGAGGTGGAAGGACTGCCTGGGCCTGGGAGATGGGGGCTGCAGAGAGCTATAATAGCGCCATTGTACTCCAGCCTGGGTGAGAGAGCAAGATCACTTTCTTTTTATAAAAAAAAAAAGATAAGGACTTAGAAAGGTGCTAAGTGGGCTCACCTGGGTCCCACGGCCAGCATATTAAACAAGAATGCCAGGGTTCAACCTGGCTTTGACTCTAGAGAAAAACAATTTACAGTAGTTATTGCCAATGATAAAACACAGGCTTTCAGGCAAACATTGTATTTGTGGAAAACTTTTATCTGCCAAGAAGACCTTCATGGTTTTGCAAATACAGACTTTTCCATTGAGATCACCAGGAAGAGAAATGAATGTGATTTTTTTTGTTGTTGTTGTTATTATATGATGCAATATGTCAACATTTGGAAGCTCTGCAACATGGTTTCCAAATAACCCATGCATGGTATCACAAAATCCATTCAAAGTACAAAGAAGACTGATGTGTTTTAGTGAAACAATGTTCAAAAAGTCACAGACATGGCTTCAGATTCCACATCATACTAATAACATTGAAGAGAGTAACACTTGTCAAGTTTTGGTGTAGTATCAAAGAAGAATATTCAGATTTATCTGAAAAAGCAATTAAACATACTCTTCCCTTTTCCAACTATGTATCTGTGGTGAAAGCAGTTTTTCTTCATATGCATTCACCAAAAGAACATATCCTAACAGACTGAATGCAAAAGCAGACATGAGAATCCAGCCTGTCTTCTATAGAAACAGACATTAATGAAATTAGCGGTAGGGCGCAGTGGCTCAAGCCTGTAATCCCAGCACTCTAGGAGGCTGAGGTGGGTGGATCACCTGAGGTCAAGAGTTTGAGACCAGACTCTTCAACATAATGAAACCCTTTCTCTACTAAAAATACAAAAATTACCCGGGCACAGTGGTGCATGCCTGTAATCCCAGCTACTTAGGTGGCTGAAGCAGGAGAATTGCTTAAATCTGGGAGGCAGAGGTTGCAGTGAGCCAAGATTGTGCCACTGCACTCCCGCGTGGGCAACAGAGCAAGACTCTGACTCAAAACAAAAAGAAAAAAGAAAAATGAAATTTGCAGGCCAGGCATGGTGGCTCATGCCTGTAATTCCAGCACTCTAGGAGGCCACGGCAGGCGGATTACCTGAGGTCAGGAGTTTGAGACCAGCCTGGCCAACAGGCAAAACCCTGTCTCTACTGAAAATATAAAAATTAGCTGGGCATGGTAGCAGGCACCTGTAATCCCAGCTATAGTAGCATGATCTTGCCACTACACTTCAGCCTAAGTGAGAAATAAGTCAATGTAGTTAAGTAATAATACACTAGTGGCTCTGTCAAGTACTCCTCTTGGGATAATCTGCAGTTTAAAAAAAGAAAGATTTACACAAACCAGGTCTTGAGTTTTCAGGACATACCTGACCCTCAGGTGAAAACAGAAGCACACTCGCATGCACACACAACCCTTACAGAAGGGCTGGACGTTCCCTGTGCTCTTCTAATCAAATGCCTTTGCAACTGCTTGCTCTCCCTCCACAGAAGGGCACTGAGATACACTGCCTCCTTACTGCAGACCTTATAGATGTCACCAGCACAACTCCAGGCCTAGAACAGCTTACCTACCAAGTCATCACAGTGTAGACATGGAAGGACCATTTCACGGGCAGGGGAGAAGACATTAATAGACACACAACCATACAAGCCAGTGGGTGTAAGCAATCACTTTAAGGAAGCCCCGGCGACAGTCTGAGGTAGCAGGTCCTACAGCCCTTCTGAAAATGCAGAGGACTCAGGAGATCTATACACAGGTGCCTAAATGCACTGCTGAGTGGAAACTTTTCAATTGGGAGTAAAAACTGTGCCCGATTGGCATGTCAATTTTCAGGAAGTTCTGCGTATAAGGTAGGTACTTATGGGGGGTTTTGATCTGATAAAAGTTTCTCCACTTTGAAAAAAAAGTTTAAGGCTGGGCGCAGTGGCTCAAGCCTGTAATCCCAGCACTTTGGGAGGCCGAGGCGGGTGGATCACGAGGTCAAGAGATCGAGACCATCCTGGTCAACATGGTGAAACCCCGTCTCTACTAAAAATACAAAAAATTAGCTGG